TTTTTTTTTTTGGTCACTCTCTTTGAAACTAGTCTGAAGAGTTTTTACTTCAGCTTCTTAAATTTTGTATTTGACATCAGAATTTGATTTTTTTATTTTTTTTGTTAATGCACAACTGATGATGTAAGATAATTATTCCAAACAACGTAATCATTTTACACAAGATCGAGAGTATCAACAGGTCTGTAAACATTTAAGATTTTGAAACAACTTTATCTTGTAAAAATAATTATCACTCATTATTGATAGACAACAAACATTAAATTTCTTATTTCGAAGATTATGATTTTATATATATATATATATATTCTGATTTCTTTCGATTAATTTTTTTATTTTTCTAATTTTTTTTTAGAAATAAGGAAACAAGTTGCTTTTTTAAAGAAATTCTTTTCTTGTTGTTGTTGTTGTTTCAGTAATGTGTGAATGACTTTTCCTTCTTTTTTTTTAAGATGTGAAGGAAACTGTTTTGTTTATTGTATTAAGTTTTATAAAAAAAATCATTATTGACATTTTCATTTACTGTAAAACAATTTACAAGAAATATGATATAGACTCATTATTTCAGTGTTTTAAATATCAAAATTTTCTGATTAATAAAACAAGAAAAACTCAGTAGTAAATAGTTAAATTTTCTTATATTTGTGTTTTTTTAAACCCGTTGTACTTTGTTAATTCATCTTTTCTTGTGTCGCGAATGATATTGATGTCATGGTAGAAAATTTTTTTTTATCCTTCTTTAACTTATTTGATTTTTAAAGATTTATTTTGTAGATCAGATTTTTAAGTTATAAAAAGGATTGTTTTATTTCGTGGGTGAATGCAGGTAATGTCATAATGTGAAAAAGGTGTACTGATCAGGGAAAAAAAAAAGTACCATATTGGCCTGATTATAAGGCGATGTTTTTTGATTAATAATTAGTCTGTAAAATTCATGGTCGCCTTATAATTTCGGACAACCATAGTCCCCTCCCCCCTACTCTAGTTTGTTGCATTCCTGAATGTCCAGGTAGTATCTGTCTATGCATGCATGCCAGATGTTTGCTCCAGGTCATTACTCATTCTTGTAACTAATCCACCTGCAGTTATAGTATTGATTTTGTGGACCTAAAAAGGATGTTATGATACTCAATTTTTTTCTTTTCCATTGTTTCTGAAAATGGGGGTTGCCTTATATTCGAGATTGCCCTATATTCGGGCCAGTACGGATCATGCTGAAAAAATGTACCGAAATCGTCTCCAAATTTAAAAATAACCACTGACATTTAGTAACATTTACACCTTCCCCTCCCCCCTTTTTTTTCATTCCTGAAAATGCACTTGCAAGACTTCCGAATCTAGTTCAAAAACATTTGGAAATAAAAACACAACTTCTTATACCAGTTAGAAGAAAGGAATAAAATGCATAATTAAGTTAATTAAATTGTAAAGAAGACAGATTTGTTTAAATCTAAAGGTGTGAAAAAGTTAGACACTTTTATGT